TGAAAATTCTCAACGCGAGAATTGATTGTAATTTCAAAAAAAAAAAAAAAAAAAAAAAAAAAAAAAAAAAAAAAAAAATGGACGAAGAACATTCTAAGAAAGAAGCTCGAAAGCTGACGAATGAAAGGAACAAAAATGGGGATTGAAAAGGAAAAACCATACGAGACGTTTTTAGGAGGGCAAATTATTTAGATCCGGACGCGAGGGTGATAACCGATGTTCTTTTAGGGCTGACTAAAGGGTGAATTTCTCGAGGATGGGGCTATAAAAACATTTTAGACGACGTGAAAATTAGTCATAGAGGGTGGACGAGAGGGCCTGAAAACAAAAAGCAAAAAAACGAAGACGCTGCGGGAAGGGGTATTATTCAAAAGTGTTATGTGTCGTTTACGTATGTGATAGGAACATACACACACGCGCACACACATCTACACTGCACGTACATACACGTTTATGTACGAAACAGAAAAACACACAGAACGTACACGGGATACGTCGCAAAACGATCGATTTGCATATATGATCACGAGTGTAAATAATTTTGCTACGCATACGTACTTTGGTTAAATTTTATTTCCTTTGTCTCTTCTTTTGTTTTCTTTTAAATTAAGCCGAAAAAATGTATACACGTTTTCTTTTCTTTTCCTCGTCTTCTTTTTCTTTTTTTTTCATTTTTTTTTTTTTAACTTTTCTCGGCTACTCTGCCAAGCAGAAACGAACGAAACGAAAGATCGGGAGTAATGTTAAGATCGTACAAACTTTAGTATTAAGTTTACACTTTTCTTAAGCGTTTCCTTTCATTTTTATTTCATCTAATATCGTTCCCTATTATTTTTCTTTGTTTTCGTTCTCTTTTAGGTAATTTTGGGGTGACGTTCATAACGAAAATTCGGGCGCTTAGGATAATGCGTTTACGTTCACAGTTGCGAATGTTTAAGAGGTTTGGGGCTAAAAAGCCATGTTCTTTTTAGTTGCTTCGTCGTTAGCTGTTACGAATTTGCTTACGTAAAAACACGCGTGTACAATGTATATACAGGTGTATATATACGAAGTTGATGAATCGAGTAACGAGTGACGAGCAATCGATCGTGTTTGGGCAGGGGATGGAAACGAAAGTGAAAGATCGCTGGATCTGAAACCAGACTAAACTTACACTCGCGTTTTGCTATTCGTCGAATTATGAATCGCGTACAATTCTTTTTCATATCCACAATTCTCCTGTGTTCGAATTGCTTTTTCTTTTCCGTTTCGTACTCGATCTCTTTGCAAATGTCCTTTGTAATAATTTCTTTCATAAGTAAAAAGCTTTTCAATCTCAAGGAAAAAGAAACGAGATTCAAAAGTCGCATATTTTCAAATTTATTTTTACACGTGTTTTTTTCCTTTCTAATATTATTTTCGATAACGAAGTTTCTCGATCGTTTCGAAGATCACGAAATTATATTGGAAATGTTACTTGAAATCAACTCACGATTCGCAAGAGTAGTTTTCAACGTCCCGTTTTTCCGCGTAAAGTTCCGCGCTGCCTGACCGTATCCCGGTGTGATTGGAAACACATACACACGCACACACGAACACGTGTATACAAGCACAAACACACATAGGCACACGCATATAGGAGGGGCGCGGTATCGTGCGTACGCTTAGCGTGCATATATCCACGTTGCGAAGCCACGCGCCAGCGTACGCACACGTATGTACCATTATTGTATCACGGCGTAGGATAAAATGTTGCATGTTGTTTCTATAATATGTGTTTTACGGATTGAAAATCCTTTAATAGATGTCGTGTGTGACACAGCTTGGCGAGGCGAGCTTTACACCGCGGGTCGACCGAATCGTTTCGAATTTCCCGCGTGAATCACGGGCGTTGCGGAGAAGGAAGAAAGAGAAATTAAAAAAACAAGGATAGTGACTTAAAAAGGGGTAGAAAGGCGTTAGACAGCAGAGAGTTCGATGAAAGACTCTTGACTTTCAAGGAAGGACAGAAAATTAGGATGATAGTCGGTAGGGGTCGCTAAAAAATCGGTACGAAATCGGCGAAAAGTAAATGAACTAGGAATAAACCGCGTTTAAAGGACGCTCGACACCCGCGACCGAGACTCGCGGTGTAAACGGGCTTTCCACGATTTAAAAAACGTAAAATGAAAAAAATATATGAATAAGAAAAGAGATGGTAATCCTTCGTCACTGATGTTTGGCAACTGAGATCGTGTGGGTGGGTAGGTACAGTTGCCGGGGGTAGAATAAGAACATTGGCAGAAGCGAACGAAAAACAAGGGTTGGGGGAATGAAAGGGTGACGACGGAGAGGCTGTCGCCGTGGAAAATAATTAAGGATCGGCGGAGATTGTTGCATGCTCGCGGTGAAAAACGAAGGAGGATAAGGGTCGATGTTGTCGCTGCACCTGGACTGCGCGTGCACTGTCTACTTATACTATACCGTTTGATCGTTGTATAGTATAGAAAAGAAAAAAGGAAAAAAAATACAGTAATAGTACTATACCATAGTTGATAATGATTGCATAGTACATGTATCACGCACGCATAAGCATATTTAAACGTGACGAAAAAGTATAAAAAAAAAAAAGCATAACATTAATAAGAACGTAAGGAACGTACATTACGTAACGAACCTACATCTTCTTTTTCTTTTGGCGGCAAGATCGAATTAATCGATTGACGATTATTACGATTACGATTATAATATTGTAAAACTGTAGGGCTTATATTGTCGCGCAGCGGGGCTTCGATTTCGGTGGCGTGCGATCCTCGAACGGGGATAAACGTTTGAGCGGTCGCGACTTATAGTACAAAGTAAACTATAATGCGTTAAGGGGTATAAATGAAGTAATCGATGGAAAAACGCGATGATGAAACAGATGACGATCGCAGATTTTTGTAAACTTACTATACACGATGTATTAAAAGAAACGATCACAATTACGATACTGATCGACGATGACGACGACGATAAAGATGATGATGATGATGATGATGATGATGATGATGATGATGATGATAATGATGATGATGATGGGTTTTATATAATATAGTTGAATTTGGACGGCTAGAGAGATGGGCATCGGTAGAACGATCAAGGGTTCGATGAACGCGATTTAATTAAGCCGATAACACTGCATTTCTCGATCTCGCCGTTTATTATGCTGAATGTTGTATACAGATTGGATGAGGAGGCGTATAATCCTGTTCGATGGATCGTGGTTGATCGTTGATCGATAAAAGTCGTCGATATACAGTTTTTAACATTTCATCTTTCTTCGAGATCTGGTGAAACTGAGCGAAGCAACGTCATTGCGATTTTCAAGCAATGCTATACGATTCGTCAGGTTTTTATTTCTGAATGATGCAATAGACCGACTGTCTCTGCCCTGCTATTATAAGAATATAAAACTACCGTATTTTTTCTTTTTCTTTTTTTGCATCGCTATTACATTAAAAAATCGCAACGACGTCACCTGGCTCGTTTGCATTAAATCTAATAATAATGAAACATCATGTTACACGATAGCTATGTTACAAGAAGAATCGACGAAGTTTAATCTATGCAACGAGACGCATTATCCACTCGACGAGATATCGATATTTCTGTGATACGCAGGAAAGGAAGGAGGACTTACTTTAAGCAGCGAACGTGCCGGAAGTTTAAATACCCATTACATATCAGTTTCAGGGAGATCGATCGCCCATTACTTTAACTATACTTGTCCCGTTTCATGTGATCCTCGTGAATCCTCTTTCCTTTATCTGGAATTGCAGAAGAACTGATTGTTCACCGACTGTTCCATGTGATCGTACTTTATACCAAATAGCTCGCAATAGTTGATATTATAGTTACAGAGTTGTTGAGATTGTTTTACTACAGACTGCTGTGTTTGCAGCCGACTTTATATGTTTCTTAATCGTTCAGATATGATATAAGAACGACATAAACGCAGAGAATAGATAAGAACGATATAAATGCAAATATTTACAAATGATACGTAGGAAATAGGTCCGAATGCTTGTTATGTACGAGTGTTAATAGCAGAAAGGATGAAAAGACTGGTGAAACTCGTCACTGCCACTAAGTAATCGAATCCTTCCGTGATCGGTTCGCCGATGCAAGTTCTGCCGTTCATCACAGTAACGGAACACAATACTTCGTCATACACACTAGTACAAATGCTACCTCACACAAGCTATACAGGGTGCAGAAGAAAGCAAAAGAGAGAAAAAAAAAAGAAATGAATAGAAGCTTAAAATAAATCTCTGTACATAAAAGATGACACAATTTAAAAGGAAAAAGAAAACGGTATTTTGCGATAGAATCAAACGTCCCAGAGGTGTCGATGATCGGCATACGGTCCGACGTATTCTAAAGAAAACGACGATGGCAAGAAAAGAAAAGAAACAAATTGTAGAAAAAAAAAAAAAAAAAAAAAGAAATAAGAAAGATGGGAAAACACAGACGATAGTTAAACAGAGATCAGAATAAAAAAAAATTCGAAACGGGTTCGGTGTCGTTGATCGAGACGACGCAACTCGTACTCCACGGTGTCCTTTTCTCAGGAATAATGAAAACCAAGTACAAACTACAAAGTATAATAGTCGATAAGATTAACATAAATCAATAATCAAGCGATGCAATAGTCGAGTGTATAGTAGGGATCGATCCGGTGTAACTTGTACGCCGTTTCTCTTTGTCTCTTTCTCGCTCGTCCCTCCTTGCTATCTCATTTTTCCCCTTTTCTCTCTGTCTTTCGTCAGAAAGAAACTAACTTGTTGTTAACGATAACCGCCGCCGCGAATCATTAAAATATGAAACGTGTTTCGCGCACGACGACGCTACGTTACTTATGGCACCGTGTGTTAATTACGCATACAAAAGATTAATTAAGTGCTCGAACGACCAGTTTCCTCTTCATTCTCACGTATCTTGCTCGTTCTTTCTCCTCTCTGTTAAATAGCGGCCATGCTCGTTAGAGTGGTTTTCGCTTCCGTTCGCCGTTTCATTCATTATAGGCGAACAAAGAGCAGAAAGAGCGCTTTATGGTAGCGATATCGTTACGCTAACAAAGAGGAAGATACGTTTGTGGGAGAGGAAGCAAGTGTCGCTTAAATAATGAGCCAATTAACGCGGGAATTATGTATCGTAACGACGATTCCGCGTTAAAGGAACGACGAACGTTGCTTGTTCGCCGCGTACTTCTTTCGATTCACGAATTTGTTAATTGTTTTAGTCTCTTTATCCTTATCGAGCGCTGCTGAACAATTTCCTTCGATGATCCATCTCCATCCAACACTTCTCATCGCGATGCAATCACTCGTCTAAGGTTAGGTTCATCGGACGCGTCAGACTTTATTCCTTAACCTTTTTTGAATTTCGCGCCACGGCACATTCCACCGTGGTTGTAAGTGTTCTTGTTAAGATGTGTTCGTTCTTTGTTGACCGTTTTGTTACGTGGTGTTTCTCTGCCGGTCGGATGTTCCCTTATCGAACATTTTTTTTTTTTTCATTTTCGGTGTCTTTTCTTTCTCTTTGTCTATTTTAAGGAAGCGGAACGTACATTTCGTACGAACTTTCTATGATAACGCATGATAACGAAACATTTCTTCTTTTATTCCGTTCCAATCTTCATCTCACTAGACATTCGGTTTAAGCGTTCTGCTTACCACTTCGTATGGAACTCTCCTATTTTTTCTTTTTTTTTTTTCATCTTTACAAGATCTTTTCGAAAAAATTTTAAATAGGATTCTATTCCTAAGTTTTATATTTTGCTTACGACTTTATCGTTCTTCGTCTTTTCGCAAACATCTTTCCTCCTCTTCTGTATAATAAAGAAGAAGTAAAAGATCGATTATACACGTAAACAAATGCGAACATTCGTCCGGTTGCATTTTATTCTCAAACGCTATTGTCCACGACATGGTTCAGTTTCGTTCCTCAATGAAATCTCTTTTTACTTTCCACTTCCCATCATCGTCCTCCTAATATCTTCTTCACCACGATGTAATACACCTGCCCCTTTCGTCCTACGTCGGGAATTTCGTTATACTCGGAAGAAACGGACAAACCATCATCTCAATTCTCGTGCATCTATGACATAATCTTTCTACTGATAATAATAATAGTAATAGTAATAATAGTAGGTGTATACGAAACCGTTTCTACCTCAATGAAACAAACGTACACGTATACATAGCTAACACGTACACGCATAAGCTCGTACATACAGACGCATATACACTCGCACAATGTGCACATACACTTGCACATACACTTGCACACATACACACACACACAAAATACATTTACGGCACGCATAGACGATCACGTTAATTACAAACGACGTTCGTACAATTGTGTGTCGCTTACGGTTCCTTCTCGGTTTTTCTTTCTCATGTGTCCCAATGATTGTGAGAAGTATTATTTTTCTACGCGACGCTCGGCGTAATACCGTGCGTTTCATTTTTTTTGTACCATACAGAGGAAATGAAAAGTGAAAAACAAATATGGAAAAGCATGTAAAAGAAAACAAAATCAGAAAACCGCAACAAAATCGGATATACGTAAAAGTAATAATTATATTGTATGATATAAGAGAGATTTAACGATTACGACGACGATGATGATGATGATGATGATGATGATGATGATGATGATGATGATGATGAATAATGATGATGACGACGAAGAAGAACTATAGCTGCCGCGAATAAATATATCGGATAATAGCACTGTCCTCCGTTCTTCCACCTTTTCTCCACCCCTTTTCTCCTTTTCGAAACTGCCTCCTCAAACATACGATCCTCCTGCCCCGCCCCCATCAACTCCCCAAACCTAATCTAACCTAATCTTTCCATCCTATCCTCCCTTCAGACGACCGAGTTTATGTAAATAACATCCGTTCATATTTATTTATTTATGTTTCTATGCGCTGGACGCGTCTAAGTTACACGCAATTTCAAATTAATCGATAACTATTCCTATTGATAGAACGAAAGAGAGTACACTGATTTTTTCAATATAAATATAAAATGGTATATATATATAAATATATAAATATATAAATAGATAGAGTATATTATATGTAATATTAAGAAGGTACTTGTTTAGATCATAAGCGTGCCCCGAACTCGTCGCCCCGCGATGCGACATTGCAAGTCGAAGACAAAAGATGAAAAATATAAATTAAAAATGGAATATTATATATTATATATATATAAATATACATACATACACGGACACACACAGACACATATAGAGACAGACAGACAGGAACATAGGAACGTACACAGACACGCATATACGAAGAAGAGGACGAAAAAAAGAAGATGCGAAGAAACGACGAAAGAATTAATAGAATAAACGCGATTTGTAAATCGCTGAATCACGCGGTGCACGCCATATTCCAGTTTCTCCTCTTCTTGTTCGCGAGCGAAATTTCGACTTAACGTCGACTATATTAAGGGATAAACGAGGATCGACGATGTCGAGGGGATGTACCCTGGGCATTTCCGCTTTAAGAACGCTAGAGAATGTAAAACTCGAAGATAAGAAGCGTCGGGAAATTATTCGAAGGTTCGATCGATAGCCAGTTATTTTATTTCGCATTAATGTTTCGCAGTATTGTCTATATATTTCAGTTTCCTTTTTAACGAAAATTCGATTGATCGATCGTTCCTTTGGAAAGAAAACGGAAACAGTGATGCTTTGTTTCAAATTTTTTTGTTTATACATATGATTTTACGGAAGAGTTCAAAGGAGCAGCGTATGGAACGACGCTTCTATCGTAGAAGTTTTACGTTCCTCGATGAAGATGAAAATTCTCGTCGTCTCGACATCGATCGCGTATTCAATATACGTAATCGTCGGTCCGCGTGTTCTCTTCGTCGGCATCGATTCGGCAGAAACGACCGTTCTTGTTGTGTATTTTATCTCGAAAGAATAGAGAAAGATCGTGGCTTGCACCGCAGATCGTACACGGTGGTTACCAATTTTGTTTTTAAGTTGAAAGATTAAGTTTTGCGTTACGATTATGAGAGAAATGAGAGGAAGGTGCGTGGTGGATACGAGAAGGAACGCGAAGAATACGTAATGAAAGAGTGTACGAGCGGAGGCGGCAAAATGGCAGATGCCTCCAGCGTGAACGGAGCGCGCAAACCGTAGTTGCGTTTTTCGTGTATGCAAAATCATACTTTTGCATTCTATTTACAGAATTATTTTATTTATACGGGAAACAGTGCGCCTGTGTGCGAGTGCGTGCATGACGACGCGTGAATATGCTTCGGGACGTGTTAAAAATTCATTTCTAGCATAATCCGAATATTCGAAATATTTTCGAAATTGATCCTTGTGAAACCCGTTCGAAATGCATTTTTAATACGTTGAAGACGAGACTAGGTACGCCTTGATACGAATGTTAGGGATAGTATGCGAGTGAAATGATTGTTTGAGGATGCGTGAACGGGAGAGAGAAAAGAAAAGGAAAAAAGGTGATGAGAGAGAGAGAGAGAGAGAGAGAGAGAGAAGAGGCATGGAAATGGAATAGAAACGAAGAACGAGTCGAAACTCTGCCATCTTCAACGATCCCGGACAGGAACTGGGTTGAAATGATGATGATTATAATCATGATTCATTACGTGTTATGATAAATTACTTTGGATAGGTAAGCGTGGAGGGGAAATAAAAAGTGAAATGAAATGACGAATGAAAACGCGAAGTATGGCGTTACGATACATTTTTCTTTTTATTTTTCTTTTTTCTCCGAGCGCGAACAGGGTGGCAGGGGTTTGTGCTACGCCGAGTTGAGTGTAACTCATCCTCTTTTTTGTTTGTATAAAAATTAATCGAAATTTAATTAGACTATTAATAACTGTTTAATTACTGTGAAACAAGAAAACATTAATTATAAATTACAAAAAATCTGACCAGGCATCTTTTCTTCCCCTGTCCTTTTCCCACTTGATTGTTACTTTGTATCTCCTTCGATAATATTCTTCAAACTTTATATACATAATATAAAGTTTGTATAAATCGACAATTGAAAGCATTGATAATATGTACAATAATATACTATATCGTTATATACTGTAAGAATAACAAAATAATATTCTATATATCGTAAGGTATAAGTTCAGGCTTTAATTAATCGCATTCGACTTATTCTTACGGATGATATATTTATTTGTTATTTTAACGCAGTAGAATAAATACATTTTACTAATTGAATGTGCGACCGAGAATTAAATCGCTTGCTCGTTCCGCAATGGCAATTACGACGGAATTTGGATTACCGGAAATGGGAGACGGTAATATACTGGCATCGACTATTCTCAGTCTTTTGACACCTCTCACTCTGTAACAGAAAGATTTACGCTCACCTAAATCTGTTCCCCATATCACGATATCGTTATTAACGAGTCAAATAATTCACAATAAAACATTATGTATACAGGGTGGTTGGTAACTGGTGGTACAAGGGGGCGATTCTACGCGGAAAAAGAAGTCGAAAATATACAATAACAATTTTTCGTTTGAGGCTTTGTTTTCGAGAAAATCGACTTTGAATTTTCGCTCGGTACGCGTGCGGTACGTTATAACGGATCTCACTGTGGATCGTTGTCTCGATGGAAGAATTTAAAAAAAAAAATTTTTATTCTATATTTTCGACTTCTTTTTTCTCGTAGAATCAGCCCCTTTCCGCTTGTACCACCAACTACCAACCACCCTCCTGTATATTCAATACGATATTTCAAATCTGCTTAAAAGAATTATCTCAAATGTATTGTAAAAAAGCAAATAACGAAATTACTACTTTCTGGACTCTACTTTCACTTAAAAAATATCGTACGTTATAAAAATAGAAAATTACGAATTTAGTACGCTCCAGGACGAAGCTCAATTTTCTTACCGTAATTTCTCATCGACGACTGCACGATCATCGGTGCCCATCCTGCAGGAGCCACACACGTGATAACTGGTGAGAGCACCGACTCTCAGCACGCATTCCGTGTATTCGATATCCCGGTAGTCTTGTGGCAAATGTCGACACTCTTCTAAATCAGGATGATGAACGTTCGCGCCATACTCACGAAACTTGGGCGTCTCGAGCGTCTGAAGAGCGAAGTTTATCGCTGGAAAATTCGCTTTCATCATGCAAAGTGCGATGGAAAAAGAAATACACCAAGGGTAAAGAAAGATGATGTGTGGCGATAAAAAAGATTTGCGTACCTCCGTAAGTGCATAGAACGTCGTCGTAGTGCTGAAGGTAAGCAGGATCGATTTTTGGATGATGGCGAATATTGTTAGACCTCAGTGAAATGCTACCACGACTTTTTGGTTGTAAACAGTAGGATAGAAATAGGAATCCTTCGCGACTGTTGTTGTCGTAGGATGGATACATCGACTTGTAATGCTACGTATTATCGTTTAGTTAGAATCATGAAGAAGAGAGTATGGTTTTTATAGAATAAAATTTTCTATGCTACTCTGCACGAAATATCTTTTAATTTTAATCAAATTGTAACAATTTATATAATTTTGCATTATGTTTGGATATTCACAATTTTATTAAGATAATCATTTTCAATACGTTGATTCGTAGAAAACGATATCAAATATTCATAAACTTGCTTTAGTTATTCAACTTCGATCGATCTATGTTGTTTTCAAAATCTTGTACAAATTCTTATTCAAATTCTTATAAAAAATCATACACGAACATTTGAGAATTTTATTAGTATTCTAATGAGATACGACCGTTACGATTACATTGGTCAAATCTCATCGATTATGTTATATCAAACTATAAAATATATAGGAAGTAATAACAAATGATAATTTGTTAAAAAATTGATCTCAAAACAATCCTCTTCGAACGACAGTAAATGCTAAGCGACGTAGGATGTGCATGAAATAAACGCACGGATGTCGAATTAGAAATTTAGTATGACGTTCTGCTTACCTCTATTTTGTAATTAGACAAACTCCTTAATATTTTTTCATCGGTTGAACCCATACCAAAAAGCATAACTCCGCTATCATTGGCACGACCCATCGCCATTATACCATTAGTCGCGTACCATCCTTAAAAGTAACAAAAAAAAAAAAAAGAAAAAAAAGATTAAAATTTCAGACGATATATCGTAAAACGTAAAAGAACAACGTTAAGATAATTTGGTACCTCTTCCAAAGACGAAATAATTTAGTACCTCAGGAAGCGTTTGTAACTTGTACAGAGTTATGCTTACTCTTGCCTGTAGATTAACATAGAGCGGAAGAAGAAGATGGTCAAACAGATTTTTGCCCACTTCCGGAACATTGCTCACCACTGGTATCTAAAAATATCTTTACTCTCTGATTGCACGTAACCATATTCGTAGGAAATATTCGTACAAAATGATTACGATATCACATTTCGGAGATTCAGTTTGGAAAAAGATCAAATGATTCATCACCTGAAATTTGTCAAGCTCTTCGGCTGACCCGATTCCCGAAAGCAAAAGCAATTGAGGGCTATTGATAACACCAGCACAAAGGATCACCTCTTTTCTCGCAGCGATATTTCCCACCGATCCATCTTTGTAAATCACCTTGATCCCATCTGCGTTCAAATTCTCTTTGAAAAGTACCTGGAAATTTACGAACGATGTATTCGAACGTTTGATTCACACGTTGATATATTTTATCATCGAGAATGATATTCAGGGGATTATTTAAGTTTAACTCTTGTTAAAAATCACCAGGTTCCATCGTTTACTCTGTTGTGTTTAATAATCGTATATAAATACGACATAGATCGAATATTACATTCAAATTTAATCTTCGCAACCAATTAAACTGTACAGATCTAAAACCTACAGTGGTTACAAAAAATGCTTTTAGACCATCGTATTGATTACAGTATTTATTTTCTGATCAGTCAAGCCCAGATATATTAAATTTCATATCATTCGATGTTACATTAAAACAATTTTAATATTACGATAATGAAGCCTGGTAGATGGTAAAAATATTGGAAAATAAGATTTTTCCAAAGATACCTTTTATAGCCACCGTATAATAAAATACCTGTAATAATCTACAGGGTAGTTGGTAACTGGTGGTACAAACGGAAAGGGGGTGATTCTACTCGAAAAAAGAAGTCGAAAATATAGAATAAAAATTTTGTTTTCTTTTTTTTTTAAATTTTTTTATCGAGACAACGATCTACAGTGAGATTCGTTATAACGAGACGTGATAAAGTACACACGTACCGAGCGAAAATTCAAAGTTGATTTTTAAATTTTTTCGACTTCTTATTTCGCATAGAATCACCCTGTGTAATAAAACCACCCTGTATAATAAAAATGCCAGAAATAAAATTTAGATAAACGCAGTTCTATCGTACGATGCTTTTAAAAGAAAAGACAGAAGAAGAAATAAAATCTCACTTTGGAAACCAACGTGTTTATCAAAATATGCAAGTTCTTTCTATTCCAGGCATTTTGCAAATGCGCGTTAAACGTGCTCCAACGGGAACCTCTTTTCGTCGTGTACATCCCCTTTTGAAGAGTCACATTATTCAACTTCAACGATTCTTCCGCCATGAGAAAAGCTTGCGCCAGATATTCTTCCTCCGGGCTGGACATTACGTTCATGATATCGGACACCTTTTTAAAGTACGGAAGTAAATCGGCGTGTGACCATCCTCTCGGCCAGGCTTTGTAATCTTCCGGCTTTCCGAAGGAGTGAACCAAGTGATTTATCTGGCCGCTGCCGCCCAACCCTTTACCTCTTGGTATCTTTTGTATCTACGATAAAATCCAAGCTTTCTCAATCAATCGAACTTGATACTACGTGGACTTTAAACGGTACATTTTATAAAATCAAGTTTTTTCTCGTAACGAATGAAATATTTTTTAAGAATTATTCTTTAAGAATCAGCGAATTTTTGTTAATTTTAAATCCATCCAGCTACATATTGAGGAAAATTCATAGAATTGAAACGATTCTATTCGCGAAAAATATCGTTTATTTCGGGTTTCGTTTTAACTGTACCAGCCTTTATATTTTTTAAATGTTAAATTGAATAAAATAATTAAATAATAAATTAAATTGAAAAATATGAGTGCACGCTGCATTGTTTCACATTTTTCAATGACAATTAAAATATTAATTTTTTAACCGATTCAAGATGTTATAATCAAGGGATATTATGGAATTATTGGGATCCAAAGTTCAGCTTTAAAATGAAAAATGAAAAATTTTAACTATTTTATAATATAAATTATAAAATCTTGATTCATAAAAATGGAAGATCTGTGTTTGTATAAGGTTTCTTATGGTGATCTGAAGATGTTCAATTTTCCTTTACGTGATTCCAAAATCCTTTGGAAGAGAACCTTTGCGGTTCCGTGGAATAGGACCAGTCGACGTCAGTCTTTTGCATAATTGGTGCCAAAATTGGAACGGACGATATCCATCCGAAGTGTCCTCCTGCTTCGACCAACAAAACCGACACGTTCGAAATTTCGGAAAGCCGTGACGCCAGCACGCATCCTGCTGTACCAGCACCAACTTCGTAAGTAAAAATTCAATTGTCAATATATCATCATCCTTGCTGTACATGAAGAAGAAAAGTTACAACGTTACCACAGAAAATATACATGTATTTTACATATGAATGTCAAATTACATATGTAGTATAATAGAAATATAATTTTGTTACAAATTTGTAAACGCCAATGTTCCATTGTATTTATGAACTTAGAGAAAATATTAGTTTTATGTTAAGATTAATATTTTGTAGTATGCGATAAAAGGAAGTTATCATATGTAGTAAATATGTGCAAATTAATTATTCAAACTTTACACAATCTTACTTTTAAAAACAATATATTACATGGATTCTATATCATTACATAATACCTACGATATTAAAATTAATTAATAAACCATATTTCTCAATGTTGCCCCCTATATCACTTGACACTTCTTTATCGATTTAAAACATCAATTTAACATCATTTAAATTTTCACAATTCTCCAAAAAAGACCAGCTTCCACGTACAAGAACGAGAAATAACAAATTATATCCATATACAGCCGCAATCACAATACTAGATTGCATCATGAAAATTTATTTCGTAATTCAATTTACCATGTTACCTTCAGTTACACGTTAAAGTCAATTCACGTCGATCATGCATCTACATCGATCGATTAAAAGCCCGGATCAAGAGATTAATTAGTTACATTCCGTGTACCCGCTTCCTTCGGATAAAAGTTAAAACTCGAACGGTATCGCAGTCACCGACATTGTCCGGTGAAAAATTCACCACTTACCGATTATGTAATCGTAATGCGTATTAGGGAGCTCGATAATGCTGGTTGGACCGTTGAAATAACAGTGATACAGTAATGACGCGAATAAGACGAGGGTCGAGATTAGCACGTAGTTCCACATCGTTGTTAAGATATTCACGGTCCGTTCGCGATCAGTGTCACTGACAGTACTGTGATGGACTAACAACGATCGGGCTGCACAGTAATTCCAATATTAAATTAGCATTTCCGTTCGCAATCGATACCCGCTTATAGTAACCAAACTAGACTGTCACAACAGAAACATAATGGCAACAAAATGTGAATTGCCGTCTAAATAGAACTACATACTTATAATAGAAATAAGAGAATTTAGGGGCGGTTAATATGAATGGATACAATGTGAGTAGCTCCGCATTATTACTTGTACATCAATAATTGCCTGATATTTCGCTGAACTACGTTTTGGCATAGACCGAATTTCTATCGTCTTTTCGTAACGTGTGATTTTTGACGAGTGGAATTCGAACTAATACTAGTTTTAAAGCGTTAAAAAGATCGTTATTTTAAATATTTTGCGCGTGTAAAGTTTATGGATATTGTACATTTTTTATGTGCATTGTCAATTAGCGAAATGAAATGATATTGATTTGCGTTAAGTTTAACTTAATAATTTATTAAGAAACACGTTGTCGTCAAATGTAATTGGCGCTCTGCGATAGACTGGATACGTAGGAAAGGTCGGTATCGTGATTACGACTTTACCAACTAAGGTCTAATAATTTGTTTTCATTCGTGCGTCTTGAAATGTATTTTTAAATAGTAGAATTTAGATTATACGAGGAAAAGAGATTATGAATATTTAAAGATCGCGAGTTTACTTTTATGGATATTTTATCGTATGCTGTTATCTGACGGCCAGAAGTCGAAATATAATATAGAGAAAGGTGCTCAATCGATATCTTATCGTGCATCGGTAATCCATTTATTTGTGATGATATTATTTGTGATGTTATTAGATGGTAGTTGAAATTTTTTAAATATTCTTTTAAGATATTATAACATAAAATAAGATAAAATATGACGTATGTATAATATTGTATGTATAAAGACAAGGAAAAACGCGGAGGATCTAGCTGGATCTAAATGTTATAAAAAATATACGCTGCCATTTAAAAGTCTCAAAAACCGGCTGGTCTTCGGCAGAACTGGAAGTCTGAGTGCATCTACTTATCTTTTCTAATCATCTCTTTGGCAAGTATTTATTATTAGTTCAACGGCTAGTCTGTCGCAATCAAGAATCATCTCGCGTCGATCAACAATTTACCATAGCAAATTAGTCGAGTGCCGCATCGGACCGAGTGCGAATCGCTCGTACGGAACAAACGTGTGGTCAGATGTCCGTCTTAATTCTACGCAAATATAAACAAACAACAGGCGAGCAAGTCACAGTTGCGCGCGTTTCCTTGTAACGCCAAATAAAATCAAGCAGGAAATATGACTAGAACAAACGAATACTTTGCAGATAATCAAAAAAGGTGGCTCATATTGGAGAATATGAGGAAGCTTTGGCACCAAGTGGAGTGGAACATGTGACAACAAATACAAGAAAGTGTTCGCAAATGAAATGTGTGAATCATTTCAACAATCGACAAGAAGCTTTCAGAGAACTAAAAATATTAAGTTAGAAGACTGTTACTTGTGTGCATTGCTCGTAGTGAGTGTTGCATGCAATGTAGCAGTACTATACGTCATTTATCATTTATATCGCCATATTTATTATGAAATGGATTTGGAATTGGAAATTACATGTGGAGAACTCTCAGATATGTACTTTTGTTACGGTGCAACAAGCTGCAATAGCACTAAAGCGCAATGTTTATATGACGCAAAATATCCTAATAGGACTATACCCAGCACAAAGATATTTTGCAAAATAGTACAACGACCGCGGGATACAAGTACATTAAAACCTGTGAAATCTGGCAGCGGAATTCAGCACGACGATCCGGATCTGGAAGACAGGATACTGTATTCACGAAAATTTCAGATTAACTACGAAAATTGTTGCTGCTGAAAAATGTGGCAGTAATAGCATTGTATATTGAAGGAAAAATATCTGCATACATAGCTTTCGAAAAGTTCAGTAATTAAAAATAGAAAATTTTCTCAGATGAAAAAATTTTTGCAAAGGGATCTCGCCACTTGTTCCACGTTTCGTTCACGGACACCAGACCCTTTCCTTTTTAAAATCGAGAAGGTTTGGAATTGTTTAGATTGCTTAAAATAAAAAAAGTAACTTATTTATACTATTATTACATTCATTATAAAAATAAACGAAATTGTGTGCTTATTTTTTAAATAAGTTTTTTGGTAACAGTAGAGTATCGGAGACGAGACTCGATGATAGTACAACATTGACCACAAAACGCTTTTATTCCTAGTGTCCATTTTTTTGGCAGAATGTCACCCATAAGTATTAGCGATATCCCTATTTATCTCTGTTAGAAACGCTTTGAACTGGCATAGCCGTGTTGCCAACTGAAGGACTTGGAAAAGTGAAACAGCCGAACATGGCGGTCGCAACGAATTCTTTCGATACTTGGCTCAGCAAAAAATTACAAGCTCTAAATACTGATGAAGGTGTATTTGGATCATACATCAAAGGAATTTTAGAAGGTGATGAGACGGAGGATGAGAAGACCGAAGCCCTTGAAGTCATACTCGCGGGCATAACGGTGAGGAGCACACGGATTGTGAGGTTAGAATATGCTTGCTGTTCGTAGCCGTGTATTAGCCGGTCAAAAATAACAACAGGATTATTATTATTTTCTCCCTTGTTAACTCGCATGTGTTTCGTCGAATTCGACACACTGTGCATTTCTTTTCCATGCATGATTGCTTGAATATGATTGAGATATTCGCTATATTCTTTAACATCCTAATAATTCGATGATATGCAATGAGCAATTAAGTGATGTTACACAAGTAATACTCTTCATTTGTAAGATAGAAATATTTCTATATCTTGTTTATGTTCCAGGACGATAACATTAGCAAACTTGTGACTGAAATTTTAAAAGCTTGGGCTGAGTATCTACCTGTTGAAGAAGTTAGTGCTCCAAAAGTACCAGTAGAAGATGTGGATGTCAGATTAGCAAGAATGTTGGAATCTCAGTCTCTTCCAACTACGACACAAAGAAGTTACACAGAAGAGGAGAGGAGAATAAGAGAAGCTATTCTTGCACAGTACAGTCAAATGTCAGAAGAAGAGAACAGCGAAGGAGATGGAGAAGAGGATGGTGCAAGTGGTGGAGACTGCGGAATCGAAAAGAATACAAATACAGCTGCTATAATTCAACAGGAGAGAGAAAAGAGGGAAAAAGCTAAGTTGGAGAGTCAGAGGAAAAAAGAGAAAGATAAAGAAGATCGGTATGTTTTCGATAAATTGCCCTTTTTATATAAAACTATAATATGTTATTATTAATAAATATGTTACCCTTATTTAGAGAGAAACAGAAACAGTTAAGAGAAGAGAAGAAGGAGAAACGAAAAACACAAAAAGGAGAACGGAGAAGGTAGCATTGGGACAAGAGGATATTAACTTATACTTCCAAATATGAAATAATCAAATGCAAATCGGCGTACATAAATATCTATGTTTATTCTTGTGCATGCAATGTTCTTCAACAATTACTTAAATTATTTAGTAATTCTTCGCTAGAAATTTGTGTGTGTAGAATGCATATCCTAAATGAACACGATACGAGACAAGCATCAAAATATACGCGTTTTGCAAAAAATGTTAATTCTATGTAATAATGTTAACTATATCATATGTATATGTATGTAAAACATTGCATCCTGTGCCTTCTGTCTGTTGAAAATTTCTGTAAAATGACGTAATCTTCTTTAAAATGATTTTGTACTCATTCTTTTTTATTTTCTTTTGTAAAATTCGAACTGATCGTATTCTCTATCATCTGTATTTATATCGCTTTAAGTCAATTTGAAACATCGACGTAGAACTGCATTATAATCAATGTAAAACAGTGATAATCCGAATACAGATAAATGATTTGTACTTATTATGCTTAGTAGTGTATATATATATGTTCCTTTTTCTCATTATATAAATTATGTATTTAAGACTAGTGCATTAAATAAACCATTTAAACATTCATTCAAACTATATCCGAATAAATTAGACGATTACAATTATTGCCCTGCACTTTACAAACTTTTTGCTAATGGGATAATAAAAAAATAACACAGTTTTATGTTTGTATTTTTTATTAGTATATATTTACACACAAGATATCGTGTCGAAACCGAGTCATCTTGGTATTGCATTAATAATGAAAGACAAACGCAGTAAGATAAAAACAAACGAACAAATGATACAAAAGATGATGATGCTTCAGTATTGTATCGTTACATATACTAATGTCATTATCATAATCATTTTTTTTTTATTATTAGCAATTCTCTTCGTTCACTATAATTAAGTTGGGCAGAAATTGACGAACTCACACTTGCACAGTATAACAAGATCTTTCCTGCTGTTCAATGTCGAGTTACAATTGTTACAGATCATCGTTATCAATTCCTGCTCTCTCACTCTCATTCTCTCTCTTCCTCTCATTTCCTCCTATATTTCATCTATTCTCTGTGAATATCCTTTCCCCCTCCCGATATTATATCTCGTTTTTCCTTCTTATTTTGCAAAGCTCATCTCGTTACACGTCGAATCAGAATTCTCGCACATATATTTATGTATATACGTTTAATTGGTATAACAACCGAAAAGTAACATACGCTAATACATCAGCTAAAGAAGATCACGATTGGAATTTACGCTATATCAATCTCTGTTTCAAACATGCGAAAAATCTGTGTCTCGTTACCAAAGATATATTTTATTATTATATTTTGTACATGCTTTTACTTCGAGGAATATGTTCTATGTTATAACCACATGAAATCTAATCATATCAAGAGAACTCGACAATGACGGAAACGTACGGCGCAGTGCGGAGGAAATTTACAAATCCCGTTGTAGTCTCTCTTTCGATCGGCAACAGCGCACAGAATCCTCAAGAACAATGGTACAGATTTCGATGAAAAAGAGAACAATAAACTCGCTATCTGTAGTTCCATACACGTTTAACTACGAGAATTTGACACTAACACAAAATTTGTTATTAATGATTGTCCTATTGGGATACACTGAGTAAGAACAATAAATCGTCACAACGACAAATTTCATGAATTAATTGAACGTCCAGAAAGGGAGGGGGAAAAGGGACGGTCGCGGCGATGGCGATGATCTCGCCATATATGCACACAGTAACTATCTAATTGAATTCGATAGATCTAATCACGTCGTTAACTCGATAATTAGTTACACGCTGATCCTAACAGACATACGCTAAGAGCATTCCACGCTGAAGCCTGAAAGAGAGTCTTCCCTTTTTATTCTCTAGTAAGAGTTTAGACCTTTTTAGATCATCCCCCACCTTTTTTTTTTTCTTGTAACACATTTTCGGACTAGAAAGCGACTGCCTTGTATGTCCACGTCATTCTGGCTATCAGAAACCCGAATGACAAGATGATTCTTTCCCAATCCAATCGAATTTGACATAAGAAATTCCATTTTAGAGAATACATCGATTGATTATTCAAGCTCAAACACCTCTTTGTCTTATATCATCTTTTTCTTCTTTCCTTTTTTTTTTCATTTTCTTATTTACCTTCTTACTTCTTTTTATCTCTAAAGGAAGTATATTTTAATATTTTTTGTTTACTTTTGTTTACGCTTTTTAGGCATATCTCGCCTCACGGGATACGCGTACGAGCGCGCATGCTTCAACGTGAGACGATCAGTTTTTACATAGATTAGTCGATTCTAACGCATGTAATTTGATCCCACTGTATACAATATAGTGAACACAACTAAAAACTCAGGGACTGTACAATCGACGTGAACGACTCTGTAAGAACGAAGAAGCACGTCGAAAGATAGAAATACTTATCAAATCGATCTCATGTTTTTCGTCCTTGCAGATTTGTCGCGTCAAATGCTATTCGATTAAATCGTTTATCTTAGAAACCGATACGACAAGTATAATGTTTTGGCATGCTTCTCGATCGAATGATTGGTAACTGTTTATTTAAGCACTTAATTCTTTTGCTTCTACTGCATATTGGACACTGAACGTATGCTCTTGCAGGTGAAATAGCGGCAGTCATGCCGTGTAATTATATTCATCGGACACATATATGCATTCACCGCATTCGATAAACGATGTTCGATGAAACAAGTTCATCGAACATAGACGATCGGATGTCATCGTTGTAACATGTAGAAGATTCGAAGGAAGATTATCAGTGAAAAAGATAATCCTTCCCCTGAATTGAAAATTTGACAAACGATTTAATCGATGCAATTGTAGACGATCGAACAGTGCCGGGGGAAGAGTAAAGGGGAATAGAGGACTCCATGTACTGGAGCTACGTTGTTTGAACGGTCTTCTCTATTTATTTTCTAACTGGATATCCTATATTTAACTCGTTTTTTTCGCTTCCGCGTGGGTTACTTAACACGTAAAATTGTATATGTATATATGTATATGCGATAATGTAACGCATTCTCGCTGGACGCATTCTCTCCGTAACACGTAACTTCCCTGCTTCTTTTTCTTTTCTTGCATCTCTGTGCTTTCTTACTATTTTTTTTTTTTTTTTTCGTTCGTTCTGACGCACATATGCATACGGACGCACACGCGTTATTTTTTTTCTTTTCTCTAATGTTAGTTATTATACACAATTTGATATTTCTTGTTTTGCTATAAATCTGTCTGTGTGTTTGTTCCGTGTGTGTGTCTGAACGTATGTGTGCTGTGTAAATGTGGCTTAGATACTACGGTCGTTAAATGTTGGACTCGCTGCTCTGACTATAGTCGAACAAAGTGCTTCTGTGGGCAGCTCTCTCTCTTTTTCTCGTTCCGGTGACGCCTGCGAATTTAGAACCGTTCGTTACGCACTTTGAATCAACCAATTCGATTTTTAGAAGATTTACAAACCCGCGAGATATTTAAAATATATTCTCCACATGGTAAACGTGTTAAAAAATTAACGCTATCTTACATATCGGCTATTAAGTAATGCGAGTTCGTCTTTTATTCTTATAGGATAAGGTATGTAAAAAATATTTGAATATCTTTCTAAATTTTTCCGAACGATTTTTAAAACTTTCAATTGTATCCTAATATACTACTATAACAAACTTATAATTCAAGTCTGTTCCAGGATTTCTACCTTTCAATCAATCTGTTTTGATCAGCTTCCTAAGAATTATTCTATATTAGAAGAGAACAAAGATATCCACACATGTTTCGAATACCTTATCCTACATTCTTCTCTTTAGCATCTTCCATAATATATCTATTTATCTTTCATATGATGTAAGTTGTCTTCCATTACGCCATGTCCAAGATTTCGTCTCAAACAAACCAAACGAATGCTTAGGAAAGATGCGTTTAATTAAAAACGTTAATCAGAGGTATTTGAACGAATCAGTCATAGTTTTAAAATCATAATGTCCAAACACGCAAAAGTCAGAAGAAACATGCAGTTTAAAAACGGAACACAACCGCCATGCTACGGTCAAGTTGCATCTTCCTCTTTACACTCTTTAGGATGCAAGATAAACGTGAGAAAGATAAGAAAAATGCATTACAGGCTGTGGTCGTTTAATCGACAAAAGTAGATAGGTACTTATACGATAAAAATGTATCTTGTTATTATTATAAATGATCGAGGTTGATGTCTTTAAATAAAATTCTAAGAGAAGTGACACTGTTTATTACTTCAGTCTTTGTTATGCGAATATACTTCTCGTTTCTCTTCCGTTCTTTTCCCTGCCATCCTGTACATGCGTTTTAATATTTTCACACACGGCTTTGGCTGTCGGAATCATCATGGCCTCTCGAGGCTCAGCGACGAAATGCTCGAAGACAACTTACGCTTACATCCTTATAAGAAGCGATTTTTGTTATCTAATTATATTACCAGTCGAAACGCAAAAAATAACGCTCGGCAAAATATGTGTCGAAGATTACTAATAACGAACAATTACAAGTATACGGATAACGCTAATGATATTTATCGTAACTACGAGTATATCTTTTTCCTCGTTTAGTTGAACTTTCATTGTGATTTTTTGAACACCGAGCGGAAACACTGTTTCTTCTTCTCTTTCCCGCGCGCGCGCGCGTGTATGTTATGTGTGTATATGTGTGTGTGTGTGTGTCGAGGCAATATATATTACACGATACAGAGGTTTATTTCCCTTCAAATCCTTCGCATTTACGCTAAAAGATAACACGAATCTTCGATCTTAATCTTTAATAGTCGATCGATGAGCGAAGAGATGCGATTTCTAAAAAGATTGGCTAACTTAACAGTGAAAATACAATGAGAAATAGTGAGAAGTTGAGGCGGTTAATAGAACAGAAAAAGAACACGATGCTGATATCTCGTTTGGGCCGAGAAATCATACACCGTAATATACCAAGTAAGTGTGATAAAAAATTATGCGAAGAACAATGTGGTGAAGAAATTTCATGCGACTCTTTTCTAAAACATACCTTCTATTGTAGGAAAATCAAAGTACAAAAAGAAAGAATGAAAGTTAAAGAAGAAGCGAATGCGTGCTGTGAATTGTTGGATTTTGAAGGCTTAATTATGTCTGTACAATCCTTATAGTAATAACAATAATAATAATTAATAATAATAATGATAATAATAATGTTATCTTTCTGTGTTATTATTCATTGAATAACTTCGTTAATATCGTAATTATGTAATCTTGCGATAATAGCGAGAGCGATAAATCAATATTAAGAAAATAATGATTGATAGTTAAGAATGAAAAAAGATAATCATTAATTATAGCGATCATTTACTTCTTAATATCAGAGATCTACGTAAAAGACAGTGGTAGATTAATATCACAATAAGACTACTCAGGCCTCGTTGAAACTGGGGCACATGTTTCATTTCCAGGAGTTTCGCCTCTTTCTTTCTCTCTTTCTCTCTCTCGCTCTCTCTCTCTCTTTCACACACACACACGCACTCTCTCCCTTTCTCACCGAGGTTTGCCTTGACGTTTCATTATTAATCGGTACG